TAATAAAAGCACCAGGCATCCATTGCTGCTGCAATTTTGCAAGGTGTCCTTGGCCGTCTGTGCCATGTCAAAGATGGCCTTAAGGCAAGGTTCTGGACGGAAGGCAATTCCGTCTGAAAAGCTCTATGCTCCATTACAGGTCAGCACCCTGAATAGCAAATGGATGGTCCTGCAAAAAGAAAAGAACAAAGGTGACCCCTCCTCACAGTTCAGAGGGCTGCTATTAGAATTTGTGGGGCTGTGAGCTCTATAGCATACATCTGGGATGGGCAGCGGCTGACAGGCAGATGCATCCTGTGCATTAACTTTAACCACTTTGCTTTTAACATGGTAAAAGTCCCTCTCTGCCATGTTACAAGTCCAGCAGCGACCTTCTTTCTCTCATGGGCGATTTCATGGGGTTGCTGAATGTTCAGCTTGGACTAAATTCCCTCCCTGATCATTTTCTGCCTCAGTTCTCTGTGCTGAATCCAGAGGACAGTTGTAATAGAAACATTTCTCTACTGAATTCTGACTGCTTCAGTGCTGTAGTATTTTGTGAATAGATAAATGCGGGTTTCCTTTGGAATTCCTGCCCCTGAACCTCTGGACTTATTCGCACAATGTCTTCAGTAATGTAGATCCCCTTCTCTTTGGTCAAGAATTCCAACTTTGGCCCCTTCCTGGAGCTCCCTGTGGGAATTTCATTTCTCAAAAAGTGTTGGGAAATGAAAAACTAGAGCTCCGAAATGTATTGATTTGTTGTTGTTCTTCTTCACATCAGGAACCCTTCAGCTGAGTTTGGTGACGATATCTTGAGAGGCAGCGGAACCTAAGGAGAACAGGGACAGATAGACAAACCACTTTCCAAAATAGATATTAAATGTTCTCTTATTTGATTCTAATAATGGTGATTACTATGTAAAATTTAATAATGCAATCCATATTGTCGGCACTGTGACAATTTTGAACCGTGTGTATTCCAAAATAAACTCGAAGCAGTTTATTAAAGAAAACAAGTAAAATAAATGAGTATACGATAAAACAGTTCACAAACAAACGTAAGTATAACATGCAGGAAAAGTCTTCAAGCTGCACTGAAAACAGTTCATATTTCTAAAATCAATTTCGTACAGTAAAACCAAGAGCGTGATAAAACAACTCAGCGATAAAAACCAGGAGACAGAACTTTAACCCACACTACAAGCCTGACAAAATAAAAAGGTCTTAGCAGCTTGCCTGAAGCTTACATTTCCAAGGTCTTCAATAAACTCAGGCTAATTCTACTATGCAGGAAGCTCAACTTTGCTATGGCTGTATTGTATTTGGTGTTTCATAATATAACTAATAACACATAGTCCTGCCGAACATTTCAATTTCAGGCAACCTTACATAACCTGCACGAGCTCAGTTGTGACAATGGTTCAGAGACATAGAAGCAAAGTTGTCATGTGACTGGAGGAGTTTTCAGCATTCGTGAAAACTGGCATCCTCTGGAGATTCAGACCCAGGGGGCGGTGATGTGCAAAAATCACCTATCAGACTATGGAGTATATGACACATATGTTTGTGGTGCTGCACCACTGCTGCTGCAGCGAGATCAAACGCAGGAGAAGCTCTCCGTCCTTCCTTGCCGCGGGATCACATTCATCCAGTGCTTTACCAACTGCACTGGCTCTTGGTGGTGTACAGGGTCAGGTTTAAGGTGCTAGTTTTGACCTTTAAAGCCCTATGCGGCCTAGGACCCACGTACCTATGGGACCGCCTCTCCTGGTATGCCCCGCGGAGGACCTTAAGCTCCACAAATGACAACATTTTGGAGGTCCCAAGTCGCAAGGTGGTTAGATTGGTCTCAACTAGGGCCAGGGCCTTTTCAGTACTGGCCCCGACTTGGTGGAACTGTCTGTCACAAGAGACTAGGGCCCTGTGGGACTTGACATCTTTCCACAGGGTCTGCAAGACAGAGCTGTTCCGCCTGGCCTTTGGTTTGGACTCAGTCTGACCCTTATGTTTTTCCCTCCCCTTATGGTTTTGATCTATGGGCTACTTTTAAAATAAGGCTGCATTTTAAATTGCATTTTAACCTGTATTTTAAATTGGGGGTTTACCCCTATTATGATTTTACTGTAAATTTACTGGTGTTAGCCACCCTGAGCCCGGCTCTGGCCGGGGAGGGCCGGGTATAAATAAATGTGTTGTTGTTGTTGTTGTTGTTGTTGTTGTTGTTGTTCCTGTGCCACGGCACAAAGGTGTGTGAATGTTTTTGCCCTTCCACCTTGCCTCGCCCTCACTCTGAACATTTGAGTGCTTGGGTCTCATAAAATGTAGTAATTTATAATGTGACTATTGCAGTAAATGGATTTTTTTTTTTTAATTGGCGGGGTGGGGGCATCAATGCAGTTCCTTGCCAAGGGTGCAAGGGATCCCAGGTCCTTCTTGCATGATGCACTGAAACCCATCTTGCATGCATGACTCCAGATAATGGAGCAAAGCAGCCAGGAAAGAGTCCTGTGGCATTTTAAAGCCTATCAAATTTATTGTGGCATAAGCTGTGCTATCTTCATTTGGTGTGTGGGTGTGTATGAAATATTCCCATAAAGCACCTTGAATCAATTTCACAACAAGGGATTATGGCTATGAGTCTTGGAAGACCTGCTCCCTGTCCTGCAGGCCCTTTCCCACCTGGCCTGGGGAGACTGACTGACTCCAACTGGGGCCCTGACTGACTCCAACTACAAAAGCTTAAGGGAGGCTGAGGAGTCATGGAACACAGTGACAGATAAAAATCCCTGCCCCTTATGGGATATGCCAGATTTTTGATCCAGCAGAACCAAAGCCTCTATCACCCGACTCCCAAATTCCCAATTTTGGGCTTTCTGCTGGCTACCACAAGTGGTAAAATAGCCAGTAGTAACTTTATACCTGCCATGGGGCCTCCAGCATGGTGAAGCCCCCCTCCTCCTTGCGTGGTGGGCTACCCTGGCAGTGGAGGCTGGCTGGTGGACAGGAGCCTGTTTGGTTTTCTAACCTCCCCAGGCAACAACATCAAGGAGCTAGGGTTGCACCCGAAGTCTGGATGCAATTCATATGTGCAGAGATATAAAAGTTTGTCGAAAGTGGAGCAAGAGAAAGGGCCACGAAATGCAAAAGGACATGCAGTAGTTACACCTCATTTATATGCATTGGCCAAATGCATAAACGATATGAATGGAATGACTCATTCACAACAGCAGTCATGGGTGATAAGATTATAGTGCTATCTTCCTCACTTGAGCCCAGATTCAACGGAATAGCATTTGCTAATAAATTCAAGTTCAGCAGTTTCTCACAGGAGCGCCCCTCTGAATTCTTGTTGTTGTTGTTGAACTTACGGAGCCTTGGAGGTCTGCAGCAAAGTGTTTGGGGCAACTGAAATGTTGTAATACAACTTTCTGAATGTACTGAACTTAAGGACATAGGAAGCAACATTATAACAAGTGGGACCTTGGTCCATCTAGTTCAGTTATCATTACACTCACTAAAAGCGGCTCTCTAGGATTTCAGGCATGGGACATTCCCAGTTCCACCTGGAGATGAACAAGGAACCCTCTGCTGTATCCCTGACCTATAGACCTTCCTGTGGTGATGTCAGATTCGTCTCTGTTTATTCGCACATAGACTGAGCTCAGAGGTAGCAATATTAGCTTAATAAACCATGGTTATAAAGTCAAGAGAAAGCATGGTGAGCCCTCCCTCATCAGTGGTGCTTCATTCTACCAGTGAGGACAGAGAGAGGCCTGTTTGCTTTCCTTCCCCCCATCCCACCCCTCCAGCCATCTCTCCTCTTCTCCTCACGGATATACTTGGGCACTTCTAGAGTGGTTTGTTTAAACCACAGTTTCCCATTATACCCAAACAGGGGTAACTGTGACTTAACCTTGGTTTACTAACTTGGATATGACTCTACTGTCAGAGTGGTGTTGTGCTGGCTGTACAGCTATACTAGGAGAGCTTTGACATAAGGAGGAAATTACATCAAGCTGAAACCCTTATGCACCTCACTTAGTAATAATAATAATAATAATAATAATAATAATAATAATAATTTATTATTTATACCCCAGATAGATATATACTATCTGACTGAGTTCCCCCCAGCCACTCTTCTTCCAACCAAATATCAAAAACAATACATTAAAAACTTCCTTAAACAGGGCCTCTTTCAGGTGTCTTTTAAAATTAAAATAGTTGTTTATTGCCTTGACATCTGATGGGAGGGCATTCCACAGGGCAGGCGCCACTAATGAGAAGACCATCTGCCTGGTTGCCTGTAACCTCACTTCTTGCAGCGAGGGAACCACCAGAAGGCTCTCAGTGCTGGATCTCAGTGTCCAGGCTGGATGATGGGCGTGGAGATGCTCCTTCAGGTATATGAAGATCTTTCAGGACTGGTGTTATATGGTCTCGGCGGCCGCTCCCAGTCACCAGTCTAGCTGCCGCACTCTGGATTAATTGCAGTTTCCAAGTCACCTTCAAAGGTAGCCCCACGTAGAGCGCATTGCAGTAGTCCAAGTGGGAGATAACTAGAGCATGCACCACTCTGGCAAGACAGTCTGCGGGCAGGTAGGGTCTCAGCCTGCGTACCAGGTGGAACTGGTAGACAGCAGCCCTGGATACAGAATTGACCTGTGCCTCCATGGACAGCTGTGAGTCCAAAATGACTCCAGGTTGTGCACCTGGTCCTTCAGGGGCACAGTTACCCCATTAGGATCACTCACAGCTCATTCTTCCTCATGCCCCTTTATATTCCATGTGCTGATGTCAGGAAATGTTGAGCACTACCACATATGGTGAGCCTTGTAGCTTCTCAGGGAATAACTTTCCATACTGACTCCACCCAGAATGGTCCTACAAGACAGGAAGGAGTATAAGAGAGCTTCCTGTCTTAGAGGAACTGTGCTTGAGCAACTAAGTCTACCCGCACTTCAGAGGGTCTTGTGCTTCTGGCTTGTTCTCTGATCTTGGATTTTCCGAGCTCTAACTGGAAATGCTGGGGATTTAACCTGGGACCTCCTGTGTGCAAAGCAGATGCTCTAATCACTGAGCTATTATCCCAATTGCTCCTTAACTGTTCTAGAATGCTGCCCCTGACACAGCCCTAACTCTTGGGACAAGCAAGATCCTACTACCTTTTTTTGCGATAAGCTCCAAGCTTTCCATACATGCAGGGAGGGAGGGTGCAAGATTGTGGTGATTGAAACCTACATTGCTTGGGTAAAAAGCAATTACCCTTTTAGATTAACAAAACGAGTCTCTTGCAAACTAAAAGAACAGTTAATTATAGAAAAAGGAAGACAGAGCGTACTTGTGAAAGATCACATTTGTTTGCATTAGCTTATTCCCATCTTCTGCTCAGTACTCTGGTTTTCTTTCATGAAAAGCGTGCCTCCCATAATCCGCCCATAAGGATGGATTTTAAATAATCACTTTCCACTTATATACATTTTTTTTCAGCCAACGTGCTGTATCTCTCATGGCTGGGTTTAAGATCTTGCTCTGCCTCTGTATGCATGTATCAAATATTGCAGATGCAATAGGAGTGGAACTGCTGATGGATTTCAAGGGAAATGCACTTAAATCTATTGTAATAACAAATAGACATACTTTCATATTTACTTCATTATTCTGGGATCCAGAATGAATGGAACCTTTCAGAGTTTGCGAACAATTCTAGCATTTTCAGCACTTTGTCAAAGAGATGGATTTACATCAAGGCCTCCTGAGAACCATTCTCTGATTAATTTTGCACTGCACCTTCACAGACTTGTTCTCTGTTGTTCAGAGGATAGGACAAGAACCAGTTGATGAAAATTGTATGGAAGCAGGCTAAAACTTGGTGGGACATGGGTGGCACTGTGGGTTAAACCACAGAGCCTAGGACTTGCCGATCAGAAGGTCGGCAGTTCGAATCCCCGTGATGGGGTGAGCTCCTGTTGCTCAGTCCCTGCTCCTGCCAACCTAGCAGTTTGAAAGCACGTCAAAGTGCTCTGGTTTGCCAGAAGCGGCTTAGTCCTGCTGGCCACATGACCCGGAAGCTGTACGCCGGCTCCCTCGACCAATAAAGCGAGATGACTGCCACAACCCCATAGTCGGTCACGACTGGACCTAATGGTCAAGGGTCCCTTTACCTTTACCTTTAGGCTAAAACTTAGGAGAAGCTTGCTAATTGTAAGAGCTATTCAAAAATGGAACAGTCTACTTTGGGAGGTGCTCACGTTTCCTTTGCTGAAGATACTTGTATCCTTGGGCAATAAGCACCCACAAAGGAATGTTTGTGCCTTTCATGTCTGTGCACATGTTTTCACATTTAATCCCTTTGGTGAAGAAGTTTATAGCCTTAGTTTAATATACTATAGAAACACAGACTTATAAAGCTGGGACCATTGACTATCCTTAACCATCCTTGACCATTGGCCATGCTGGGACCATCTACTCCAGCTTCTTGCTCAACGTAGCATCTACAAAATAGGATACCATCAGTCCTCACCAACCTGGTGTTCTCCAGATGTTTTGGACTGCAACTCCCATCAGCCCTAGCCAGCATGACCAATCATCATTGACCGTCCTTGACCATTGGCCATGCTACCTATCCAAAACATCTGATTGAGGACTGGTTGGTATGCTGTGGTTGCATCCTGCTTGCGTGGTGAGTTCCCGCCTCCGCCCAGTGAAAATAAAGACACATGACACCATTATTTAGGTTAATGGGCTAAAAATGGCCACAACTTTATTGGTTAAAGGTAATGAGCAGTATTGGCTTAGGCATTGGTCCTAACCGACTATCCGGCTTCAGCCTGCCTGCTTGAAGTCCGGGAAGGGTTAATCACCAGTAGGGGAAGTCCTGCTGATGCACATCAACTAGGAGCTCCCCCGGGGTCACTGCTCGGGGGCGTGCCTTGGGCCCTCACCTCCATAGGCTTCAGACAGGGCCATGCCCCCGGAATCCTATATCGGACTACCCTTCAATATCTGGGAGGTGATGGCGCATCCTCCCCCTCTCATTTACATAACAATACTGTTACCAATGCCTAACCGCCAATGCCAAGGAAGTTCTACATTGAGCAAGGAGTAGATGGCCTCCACATTGCTTGTTTTATAATTCTGTGTTTTCTGTGGTATGTGCATCTAAGGCTCTAACTTCTCCATCATGATTTTCAGTCCTGTTTCAAAATTTGCATGAAGGTGCATGCTCCTGATCATGTATATCTGAATCATCTGGGTATTATGACAGTTACAGTTCCCTTCCCATTGACCTAGGTGCCTCAGACAAACCAGGTTAAATGGGAAGATGCAGCAATGGGGTTGTAGACCAGGATGGGCACAGACTGCAGAGAACTCACTGGTATCACCTGGGACGTTCTGGAACATATAGATTTAACCATTTGGAATTAATCTGAAACCAAAAGTATCTGATGGATCAGACATCCAACAACCCCTCATTAAATTAGTCCTTCATTTACCACCCCCTCCTCAAAGATAAATTCTGAAAGGGATGGGGTGGTAGGTCCTCACATAACAAGTCTTACAAAACAAGGGTCCCTGCTATTGCTGTTCCCTTTCAAAAGCCAAATAGAGTTTGGTGACCTCCCTGCTGTCTCACCCACCCTCTTCCTGGACAGCAGCAGTGACACACCTGCTGGAAAGCTAGCATTGCGACTCTGGCCTCCCCAGCAACCCATCTCTGCACTGTGGAGGGAGTCTGCATGTGCCATGGGTTGTGCTGACGCTACAGTTTGCACATCTCATGAGCACCAAGGACCAAACTACACATGATGTTAAATGCATGCAAGTATCTAATGTGCATGTTTAATAATAATAATAATAATAATAATAATAATAATAATACAGTGGTACCTCTGGTTACGTACTTAATTCGTTCTGGAGGTCCGTTCTTAACCTGAAACTGTTCTTAACCTGAAGCATCACTTTAAGCTAATGGGGCCTCCTGCTGCTGCTGCGCCGCCAGAGCATGATTTCTGTTCTCATCCTGAAGCAAAGTTCTTAACCCGAGGTACTATTTCTGGGTTAGTCGAGTCTGTACCCTGAAGCATATGTAACCTGAAGTGTATGTAACCCGAGGTACCACTGTACAGTGGTACCTCGGGTTAAGAACTTAATTCATTCCGGAGGTCCGTTCTTAACCTGAAACTGTTTTTTAACCTGAGGTACCACTTTAGCTAATGGGGCCTCCCGCTGCCGCCATGGCGCAATTTCTGTTCTCATCCTAAAGTAAAGTTCTTTATCCGATGTACTATTTCTGGGTTAGCGGAGTCTGTAACCTGAAGTGTCTGTAACCCGAGGTACCACTGTCATAGACAGTGAGCACAGGGAGGAGAGGGGTCAATACTTTCCCTGTATGTTGTGATCACATCAAAATAATTCCTCTCTTGCTGAAACTGCTATTAGCTCCAGGGAGAAGGCTCCAGTTAGAAGCTTCCCTCTCTGTGCCAATAGTAGCTTCAGGGGGTGATTTTGAGCAAGACTGGGTCATGACCCACAACCCAGGGACCTTACAGTGCTCAGCAATGGATGCAGATGAGGACAAGTTTCAGGTTACTTCCTGGGTGGCAGGGAGACATAACTGCCAGGGACTGACACCACGGATGAAGCGTGCAGCTGGCAATGATGCGGCAATGTGCAAATTTGCACTCACTCTCTCTTTCTCTGCCATGCATCATGGGATCAGTTTGCTACCAGGGCAGGTTTAAGTTTTTTGATCACGACTAGCAAAGTTCTCAGCAACTAGGGATCAGCCTACCTGAAGGGGATGCCGGCAATCAATCAATCAATCAATCAATCAATTAATTCCTGGGAATCGGAAAGGGCCTGACAGTCATGTGCTTCCAATGCTCTGGAAAATATATTTATTCCCTCAGGCCTTTGTGCATAATGCACAGTTTTGTCCCTAACATGCCTGAAAAAGGCTTCTTCCCAGAGCAAAAGAGATCCATGCATCCAAGATATATAAAAAAGAGCGTGAATGGACAAACAGGATGCTGGCACCCCCAAATTGTTGACGACTGCCAAGACTTCACAAAATCCATCTTCTCCCATTGATATTGTCAGGGCTGCTTCAGCTTCCGAAGCCTCATACTTGTTGAGGTGTTGACAAAATCTAAAAAATGAGCTCATTCAATAGCAAGTCTTGAAGTGTGGGTAGATTGCATGTGGCCATCACCATGAGCACAGCTATCCTTTTGCATAGTGTTTGCATGACTGCTGCGCTGTGGCAACCACAGACTGCCACCCAAGAATCACAGAATAATAGAACTGAAGAGTTGGAAGGGACCCTGAGGGTCATCTAGTTCACCCCTCTGCAATGCAGGAATCTCAGCTGAAGCATTCATGACAGATGACCATTCAATGAAGGAGATTCCATCTGTCAAACATAGGACTGCCATACGTCTGGCATTTGGGGGGGGTGTCTGTCCTGGTTTTTACTTTTTGAAATATGGGAACCCTAGTCACACCGCTCTTACTGTCAAAAAGTTCTCCCTAATGTTTAGTCAGAATCCATTGGTTCAGGTCCTGGAGCAGGAGGAAACAAGCTTGTTCCATCTCCCATGTGATAGCCCTTCAGATATCTGAAGATGGCTATCAAATCACCTCTCAAGCTTCTCTTCGTACTTTATCTTTGTACATTGAGAGTGGAGACATGCCCTCCAGCTTGAACTTGTTTATTGCCATTGGTGCCTCCTGCAAGGACTCATGGAGGCATGACACCAGTTACGCTGCCTCCTCAAAGTCATTTTCAATATCTAGTCCCATCTTCCATTTCAGGAGGACCTCACACCTTTGGCTTCCCCTTTTTATTGCTAGACTCCACCCCTTTATTGCTGGGCTGACAGCTCTGTGACATCACCAGGCCCCACCTCATACCATAAGAGCCAGTGTGGTGTAGTGGTTAAGAGTGGTGGACTCGTGATCTGGTGAACCAGGTTTGTGTCTCCGCTCGTCCACATGCAGCTGCTGGGTGACCTTGGGCTAGTCACACTTCTTTGAAGTCTCTCAGCCTCACTCACCTCACAGAGTGTTTGTTGTGGGGGAGAAAGGGA